CAGCAGGAAGGACACAATCGTACCGGTGGCTACATACTCCAGCATCATTTCTTCTCTTTCCCACTAGCTCTTATTTCAACCAAAAGAGTAGGTAGCAGCCTTGGTCCTGTAAGTTGAAAAGCTGGGAACAGGATGCAAAGACTGCCATAAAGAAAAAGGAACTTTTTTAAGAAGGCAATGGACACGAGAGGGGACATGACTGTGCAGGCAGCCACACAAGAAAATGTGAGTCTTCAATCTCCACTTGACTTCAGTGAACCTTCTCTTTCTGCTCATGGATCCAAGCTACGGTATTTAACTAGCCTCCCCATGCTGCTCCAACGCTCTGCCACAAGGCCCCTGTGACCACCCCCTGCAAACCCTAGCTCTTCCCATCATCCCCAAAACCACAAGGAACACTTTCTTGCCATACAATGACAATCAAAAAGGAGAGGTGAGAAGTTGGCTGAGCTATGGGGAATATCCGAGCCAGACAGAGGTGGAAAAGCTATAAAAAAGTAAGTGTGAAGTCCCTGCTTAAAAACTCAGCCTATTGCGTGGTCAAAAAAAAGGTTTGGCCAACAAGCAGAAATAGCTAAACAGATTTTACTCTTTACAGCTTTAATATGGAGTTAAAATCCTAGAAATGTATCAAGATGGAGGAACAGTTACCCAGTAAGAAGGAAGACTGGTGCTATTCCTGAAGGATACCACGTTCCCTTTAAGAGCGACTCTCAATTTATTATCTAGGTGCACGGGGCAAAAGGATGAAAGAGATGAACTAAAAAGCAAAAGAGATTTGTCTTTGATGTTTGCAGCCACTGTTTCATCTGACCTCTTCCAAAATCCTTCACAAAACCACTTATGGAAATAAGGGCACAAGAACTGAACAAAACCCCAAATATGACTGTAGTTCTAATGAGAAGAAATGTACAAAGTATATCTGTTAAAATACAAAGCAAGAAAATAGTAAGAGACTTCACAATTGCAACTCTGAGGAGGTTATCAATTAGCTCTCATGAGACCTAATCAGGCTTTTAAGCAAGTGTTACCTGGACTATCACCTAGGTCAAGATATTAAAAAGCAGTCACAACACTCAGCATCACCAGCACGGGTGAAATCTCAGACACTGTCCAATAAGCTCATCAGTTTTATCGAAACACTGTGTTTCCAGAACAAAAAGGAAAAGCCAGTGCAGCATCCCAAGATGAATTCTTGGTGATGACATCAGCATGAGGTGTTCCCATGCTACTGCTTCTCTTTCTTAAATCCAAAGCAAAGCATAGAACTCCCTAAATTATTATGCCACAAATGTTTGTATTGCCTTCATGTTAAGTGGAGGGAGCGTGACTCACTTAAAAGTAACTCAGAAATCTTGCCCCGCCCCAAAGAAGAAAACCTTACAGCATTTAACTAATTCTATTTTAAGGAAATTACTGAGGAAAACAATCTCAAGGCTATTTGAATCTGACTTATTGGCAAGGCCTTTCTGCTCTGTAGAAGAAAAGGCATACATTAAATTTTTTTTTTAGCAACCTTCTTAATTTCAGAGGAAGCCTAATGTACAGTCAGCCTAATGTGCTGAAACAGTAATTGTATGCCGTGCTTTAAAAATACTGAGGCAACGGAATATTTTCGTCTCTACTCTGTACCTCCTATAGCATGTATTATATTAATATATTAGATACCAGAAAAGAAAGGAACAATATGATTAAGCTGTAAGCTTGCGGAATACGCAGTGTTCTTTCTTTGTGTCTTGTGATACATAAAGAAATAACTTAAGATATGTGCTCACTGAAGAGTCTTCATTCTGGAGACACAAATCAAGCAGATTTTGAAGAAAAACAAGAGGTTTATAAAGCAGCTTGATTCCTCCAAAACAGGGATAAAGACATTCGTGAACTGCAATCTGAAGAAAACAGGTTGATGCTAAATATTGATGGCTCCAACGAGAAATGTGTCACCTGACTTTAGCCATTCAGACTGAATGAAGAGATGAAAGATGCAGCTTCATGGAATTTGGTATACGCCAGTTCCCAAGAAATGACAAGGCTGAGGACTTCACTGACAGTGGTACCTGCCCCGGTTCAGGGATCCACGCTATGGCCTGCAGACTCTGGAAAGGGATAATGCTTTCTCTCCTGGATGGGAAGCATCCCATGTTAGCACAGACGATACTTAGGCAATCTGAATTTTAGTCTGTTTCCTGTAAAAGAATAAAAAAGCTTAACTGGTTTCTGCAGAGGTCACTTTCAAGCATTCTCAAAGAAGGAAAAATGACGTCTCAAGAACAGCAAAAGCTTTTTCTTCCACATTTTTCAGAATTGCTGAGAACTAGCCGTATCATTGCTGCCTGCTGTTTATGTTTGTCGCAGCATACACCATGTGCGATCTAGATAACCAAGCAAACCCCATCATACGTGTGAATCAACAAAACCAAAACCCTACACTCATCATCATGTATGCGAGCAACCTTGGACTAAGAGCATAACCTCACCCTATGGTCACACCTCTTTACCTAATGGTAGTACATGTGAGAGCTGAAAAATTACCTGGTTGTTTCCGTCACAGTAACTGCCTTATGGAAAACTAATAGAGAATAAAAATAAAGGAACTATATTTAAAAACAGATACACAGAACGGAGCTCTCAGAGGAGTGAGAACAATCTTAGTACAGCCCCATGGTATGTGGTGCAAATAACCATGAGAACAAAACCACCAGCAGCAGATACAGAATTTTACAAAAATCAGGTAATTAACTTGATGTCTTATAATAAAATGCAGGCTGTCAGTTTGATGAAGGCTGTGGTAAAGTTAACTGCAAAAGCTACTTCAAATTCTGACACAAAAATATTAAATACAATTTTTCCTTTTAGTCTTCTTTACATAAGACAGTTGTAACATGGGCAAAATACATAATAAAGTGATGTAAAAAATTAAGTGCTACCTTGACTCCAGCTTTGGCTATGGAAATGAGATCATTTTACAGAATTATGTTAGTAATAAAAAAATAAAAAGAGTTCAGATCAACCACAATGAAAATATTTTGGTTATTTCAGTTAGAAGTTGACAAATTCATTAAAGACTTTTAAAAAATGATGTAACAACTGTGCATTTCAACCTCAAAGTTGAAAAATGCAGCAATATACCAATATGCAAAATATATCCAGTTTGTGACAGTCAGTTGGCGACAACTAATGGAGCTACAAGTTGACAGCTACTTTACCTGATTAAACAAGATACTCTGAATGTTATCCTAGGTTTTGATTGTTCAGTAGATGGCATTTTAAATGCCATGGCATTCTAATCTACCATAGATTCAGATGCTTTAATACACGTGGGAACCAAAACTAACAAACCTAATGGGGTAATTAGCAAACTAATTCAACTGTTGAGAAACAAAGTAAGTGCCAAAGCTACTGTTGTATTGATAGGCAGTCAAGTTTCTAGTTGCTCATAAAATTCTTAATCTAACTGAGACTATTACATAGAACAAAACAAGCCATGGAGGATTCCAGATGAAGCTGGAAAAGAAGCTATAGTCAATGCCTTTCATCACCTAGTATATCCAAAGGCGTTTAAATCCATAGTTCACATTGTCTCCAAAACACAGTTTGTATTCAAGTGTCATTGACCTCAAAAGGGAACATCCACCGTTCACAAAGTTCCTGTCACCGTTGTCTCTCCCCAGAGGTGCTGGAGCAATGGTCAATCGGCCCTCCCTTCTGGATCAAACATGCTTCTTCACCAGTGGAAAAAATATTTCTTTCCCTCGCGGTACATACACATCCTTGTAGGTCATCAGGCCCACTTTAATGCTGTCAATTCTGGCTGCTCTTGCAAGATGCCGTTACTTCGCCTGGTCTGTGCTGGGCAAACAGCCCCCACACCAGTCCACAGAGACCACTCTGTATCCTCAGTACCTACCTGCCCTGAGGCACCACAACAGAACAGCTTGAACAGCTGCTGCACCCAGCCTGAGGCCCACATCCTCACCAGGATCCTGCTTGCTTGCTCTGTCCAGAGCTTGCACGGCATTTCTTAAAGTCAGGGGATGCAGATGGCAAAGTATATCAGCATGAAGCCCCAGTGGAACTACAACCCCTGCCTGGGCTTGCTGCAGATAACACATTTGCCTGTGGGAATGGAGAAGGGTAAATTACAAGGGACACCCTTGCTACTTCTGCAAATTCCTTGACAGATGCCAGCTGTAACACAAAATGGTCCATATGTCGGAGGGGACCAATAAACCACTATTTTCTGCATCACTTCCTACACTATGACCCTGACAGCCTCCCTGCACCCAGGCTTCTGGAACAGAGGCATTCATTTCCCTGGTTTCACACAATTCTTTCTGAAGATCCCCAGAATGGAGGACTGCAATTTGTTTGTCAAAGCAATAAAAGGCGTAAAGACTTCCTACACAGAAAAGGCAATCCAAACTTATTCTAAACTTACTGAAACTATTTATAACCAAGCAGAACTTGAAAGTGAAGGGAAGAGAAGCAGGGAATGTCACAAGTTAGGAGCGGCTGAGTGGGACTGGGTCCCAGGAGGAATCCTGCTAATGTCATACAGTGCTTCTTACAGGCTGTAAAACTCTGCTAAGTGCTCTTCAGGGCTGGACACGTGGCGGGTTCGCTCGTGACGAAGGCATACGGAAGACAGACTGCAAGTTTGGTGCCACTGAAAGAAAAAAAAAAAAGCAGCAGCACATGCTGAGGATGTGGTAAGGGACACGACTCTGCCCTTCCTACTGCCTGCCGGAGTTCATGATGCAGAAATGCACACAGGCAGAGGTGGCTGACACCGCACTCGACTCTTCTCGCTTTGCCCGGAGCGCTGTTCCCTCCGGGACAGCACCCATCTGCTCTGCTGAACGTCCCTTCCCAGCTTTGTGCTTCTGGCATCATAATCTTCACATGTCTTCATGTGCTGTGTGTGATTAGTCTCTCCCCTGCGCTACAGGCAAGAAAATCCCTCCTTCCTGCCGCTCAAAGAGTTCCTGAGCAGCTTCTTGGTGAGGGCAAGCTCAGTCTACACAATCCTGGGACCTACTGGGGAAGGATGCTACAGTCATACAGTTTGCTAGGGAAAATTCCACTCCCTTGTAGGCAGTTAGTCTGGGTGATGCAACACAGGTGCACACCAATCCACGTCAGTGACAGCACTTCATGCATCCCAGGAAAAGCGGCAACAAAATATGACCTGATATTTTTACTGTAGGCAACCTACTGTAAGCTGTATCTACATATATATCTATACATATTGAAGCAGCAGTCTTCATAAGCATCAGCAGAGAAGCCTGCAATCCTGGGAAATGATCAAGGAATACTACCTAGCTATACTCAGCTTGAGCTCAATTTTCTCAAACCTGAAGCACTTATCTGAGGTTTGGCGAGTGATCAATTTTTCAGTTTTTGTTGGGTGGGGTGGCATGGAAGGAGTCCTTCCTACTTTCACTGCACAGAACAAATTTGTCATTTGGTCTGTGTCTGCCAAAGAGGAGAAATGGAGGTGCAGTGGCTGGCTGGTTGGTACGACCATGCATCTGCGACGCAGCATGCATCACGTTCCCGGTCAAAGCAATTAAGACGAGGCAGACTCTGGCAGGGATTCCTGAGCTGCTGCAAGCACACAGGCAGTGGCCCATAGGAGCACCTAGCCAAGACAGGCTAGTTCAGGCCTTGGAAATGGAAGTGTGCAGGCTGGGGCCAGGACTTGGATACGGCACCAGATTATCTTGCTGACGAAGTTTTCCAGACCTAGCAGCACACCCAGAAAAAAAAAGTCAGAAAAAAAAAAAAAACAAGTTGGCCTAATTCAGGTTAAAATTGCAAGACATTCTGACATGTTTTCTAGTGAGTAATTTGTAAGCCAAGCTACAGCATTCCTTTTACAGCTGCAAGGAAAATGGTCCAGTGGAGGCCGTCACCCACTGCCTCGCTGGTGGTAGCAGGCAGAAGTCCTTCCATCGGGAAATGGCAATGGAAGTTGGATTCCCACACACACAGCAGCACCGTCAGCTTTCCTGCTCTCTGTCTGACCAGCCAGGATGATACTGTGCTGAAGGATTACTACCTGTAAGTAGCAGAGAAGTGGACAAGCAAATACGTGGCACCCAGCCCTCCTCCAGCTCCAACTTACTGTTGTTCTGCTGCTGCTCTACAGACCGCGTGCAGGTCCACCACAGCACAGCCCAGAGCGCCTGCTGCCATCTCCCGCTGTCCCCTGGCTGCGGGGGGTACGGCACTTAGCGCCCAGCGACAAGCACCTTGCTGTGTCTTGCACCTCTCCCCATCGCTACAGCTTACAGATTTTTATCACCCTGAGCACAAAGTCTCTCTGAGCTCTGAAACAGTCAATAGCGAGAGCTAATGCCTTGACCTGACCTTCTTAAGTGCCTTACTCCTTGTATTCTCACCCACTGCCACCCCCGTATTAAACAGGGCAGGGTCATGCTGTGGACAGTAACATGCAGCTTATTGCCTGTGGTTGCTGGAGAGTACATAGCACTGGGAACCAGCAGGGCCCTGTGTATGCCCAAACTTCAGATAAAAATTAGGGATAACTTCTTAGAGCCTGAAAGCACCTGGAGTCACCATTACTTACAGCAGAAACGCTTGGCAGTCCTCGTGAGCACCTTTCAAAATACAACAGCACCTAGCCTGACCATAACAGTTCCTCTCTTCCCAGCTCTCACACAGGTCTGTTTGCCTGCACTTTGTGCATTTGCTGTTGCAGAGTCCTTGCAGAAAAGCCAGTTTCTTTTTTTTTTTCCCTAATATTTGGTCATCTGTTGAAACTTACTTTTTTGCCTCAAACCCATTTTGCCTTTTATCATTTCTCGGAGGGAAAGGTTGGATGAGGTGGGCTTCAAGACTCTGGGATGGGACAGAGTGACCTTACAGGACAGAAAAAGCTACTGAGTCCTGCACCATAACAACACGCACTTTTGTTTTATAAGCTGTCAAACATGTTACCTCAGGAGTAGCTGTAACATTTTCAGAGCAACAATCAGGACACAGCATGAAATGTTCAACCATGGCTCTCAGGATTTGGCCCTGCCTGTCTTCCCAGGCAGCTGGCCATAACCATGCCACTGTAGCTCCACAGGCTTCACAAGCGTTGCAGATTATTAGTTTGGAAGCAGCATGCAATAAGGACTCTCGGGAAGAAACATGTATCTAAATTGGACCTAACAGGTCTCAATCATGACCCAGATTTCAGCCAGCCGAGCACATCATCATTCTGCACCTACTCAGGAGGTGGCTGAGCCTGACTTCACAAAGCCTGGAGCTTCATGAGCCAAAGCAGCAAGCCCTGAGTAGTATCCCTCACCCTCATCGTTTGCACAGGTCCAGCTCTGACAGCAAAGCTCTCCTCCTGCTAGCTGGTGTCCACAGACAAGCTGCCAAATACTTGCCATTGCAGGCAACCGACAGGGAGGGCAGTGAAACAACACGCTTTGTCACACCATCATGGAACAGAATGATGGGGGAAAATTCTTTCCTTTTGGTATAAAGTTCTCTTCTGAGCAGAGGATGGAGATGTGCCTCCAGTCATCCATGAAAGCAGGGAAGCCCCATCTGTGCATAGATCTGGATTGCGTCCTGTACGCCTGTGATTCACAGATAATATACAATTAATATCTTATACTTTTCTTAAGGAAAGTCATGATGTTCCTTCCTACAGCACAGGGAAAGAAATGCCAGCACTTGACGTTTGTTAGCCTGCAAAAAATAATTGTGACACTTTTTTTAAACTCAACACCCACGGCATATAGTCTCCCTTTTCACAGGGCAGAGAGAAGCTCAGCATAAATCTCCATTAGGGATGTCTTGCACATCCCTGGATTCCCAACTCACAGTTGTGCCAGTCAGCACTCCTGTTGCAGCTCAGAGCTGGAAAAAACAGTCATCTCCACGGTTGCAATTTGTTCCATATCTTTCATCCCAGCCACACCTAGGATATAACGAAAGAGTTATGTCTACCCCACACTTCTATTCTCTTTCATCACCAACAGCAACCTGCCCTGCGAGGATATATAGCTCTCCTGGTGATGCTGAGAGTCTTGCTGTACCTTCAGCCACTGCTGAAAAGGAAAAGCTAACACAGGCTGCGGCACTGGCAGGGCACAACCCCTGCTGCTACGCTGCGTGGTCGCAGAAGGCGTTTGCCTCCATTTTTCCGGGACTCTCCCCAGCACTGGCCCCAGAAACAGGTGGCAGAGCCACAAAGGGCAACTCCGACACTCACAGCCTAAACCACGTATGTGCCACACTGAGCCTGGCCAAAACGCGGCAACGCACGTTGCCCCATGCCCCGTGACGGCCGCTGGCTCTGCCAGGGGTGTGGGATGGCCCCAGCAGCGCGCCGGAACCTGTCCCTTCAGCCACTGCTGAAAAAGAAAAGCTAACACAGGCTGCGGCACCGGCAGGGCACAACCCCTGCTGCTACGCTGCGTGGTCGCAGAAGGCGTTTGCCTCCATTTTTCCGGGACTCTCCCCAGCACTGGCCCCAGAAACAGGTGGCAGAGCCACAAAGGGCAACTCCGACACTCACAGCCTAAACCACGTATGTGCCACACCGAGCCTGGCCAAAACGCGGCAACGCACGTTGCCCCATGCCCCGTGACGGCTGCTGGCTCTGCCAGGGGTGTGGGATGGCCCCAGCAGCGCGCCGGACCCCTTCTCACCACCGGCGCGCGCGTACACCTCATCGCGCCTGTGGCAGCACCAAACAGCTCGCAAATTCAGCACGCCTCTGCACGCTGATTGCTCAAGTGGTCAGGAACCGGGGGCCAGAATCAAGTGGATGTTAGTGCTCTGAGAATTAATTTATTTTAAGCATAAGGCATTATAAAGTTTAACTACAGCACCACAGTAGTGCTGCTAGCACACAGCAGTCTGTAAACTTTCTTCTGTTCAAAGAACCGTAATTGTCTACAGTCTAATGGGCGAATGAGGGTTTTTAAGTATGACTTTTAACACATGCTGTTATTATGCAACGTATCACGAGCCCTTCAGCTGGCCCGACAGGGCCTCAAATGGGTTTAAAAAAATACAGTCTCTAGACTGGCCGCAATTCTGCCTGTACTACTCTGGCGTGAGGGCTTCGACCACGCAAAGGCAGACTGCGACCATGAAACTAAATGGCAACGGATGACAGGGGGTTGCTGCAGCTGCTTGGTTTTTTAAAGAGCTGTCTTGAAAGTATCACTTGCAGTGCTAAATCACTTTCTTTACATATCGTGAATGAATATGAACCTCCAATTTTCTTTTTGTTTGCCTAAGAGTAACATTCTGAATTTGAACAGCATTTCAGCTGACAAATTTAAGACATTTACATTTATCATCAATGGGGAATAAGGCTCACTTCTATCACCATTTGAGGCAGGCAAAGCTAAGGAGAAAACTGGCAAACAAGGGAAAAAAAGATACCAGCTGTTCAGGGATAAATTTCAGCATTCACGTCTAATTTTCAACCTCACCATCAGCAGTAGCGGTCCAGAACGTCCTTTGACCCCACACCAGTGACACAATAATCCTTACCATTTTTAAAACAGCGCTTGGTAAGCTTTTGAAAGTTACGGCTGTATATCAGCCCCAGGCTGGACTGAAGGAAATCCCTTCCAATCTTACATTCATCCACTCTTATGATCATGGGGCTTTCACATACCACCCACACCTATGTAACACTGAACACCTTGGATGTCACATTTCCAACAAGTCCATATTTTCTTAAAGATGGACACTTACAATTGAAGACCATTTACAAAATCACCTCCTAAGACCTGTCAGGTAGCCCGCAATCCAACCTCGGAAGCCGTGGGCGACAGAGGCAGGGTTGGGGACCACCCGCCCCGCCAGCGGCCCCCACCCCCTCCG